CTGTTCCAGCAAAGATTCTAAATGAGTCTTAAAATGAAGAACAGCTGTTAAATTCCCCAGTTGCAAGAATGCTTATCCTAACTGACAGCTGAATGCCAATCTGAAGACAGACTTTAGGCTGTGAAGCAGGCTTTTCCTAGTTTGGGTGAGTGTGCTTAGGCAATATCCACATTCTCCTGTTTTCCTTCATTGCTAGTGTGTCCCTTTGTTGGTTGGTGATTTTCAGGGTAGGTGTTACACCATCATTTAAAAATGGTCTGGAGTTTGGTTCCTTCTCCCTCACAGCTCTCCAAATAGAGTTAACTAAGTATGGGAGCTTCTTTCAACCTTGTCTACTGTGGGAGCTATGGCTGCTAGACAACAGATAAAATAAACACGTTTGCTTTGTGTGCATGCATCTGTTGACTGAGGTGAAATTGTGTGGAGATTCAGTGGTTTATAAAGTTTGTGATGTGCTGCATTTACCCATCCCAAGAGACGTTGCATTTGTGTCAGAATAAATTTGAATGCAGACCTAAACCTTACTTTAAGCCACTTCCTAAAGGTATATTTTAATGAAAGTCTCTCTCTGAAACTTGAGGCGGGGGGAACCAAAACCTAAAACCCAAACCAGAATCTGGTGTGTCCTAGAGGTCATTTGAGATTTTCACATTTTGTTACTGGTATCTCTGAAACTCACCTCCGCTCTTATAATTTGTTTCCCTATCTGTTCATAGTAGTTTAAATCACTGTAGAATACTAATGTAGAATTTATTTCAAGTAAAATATTTGATGAATATTGAATATGTAAGATTGTAATTTATTTTAATTGTTCCCTGAGCTTTGTAGCACCTCTGCCTTTCTGAAAACTTATGAAGAAAATCAAGGAAATGAGAAAAGCACAGATTTTGACTTTGACCTAAATCACTAATATAATTTCATACTGGCTCTGCTGACTGTAGTTTTTAGCTTTTACTGTCTGTTGGTAAAATTTTCTTCTTTAAGTGAAGGGGAGAACAGATACTGTTGCTTTTATCAAATATCACATATTTCTCTTTTGTATCTGGCATTTTTAACTCTCAGCAATCTAGCTATTTTTGTCCTCTGGCCTATTTATTTCTCCCCCAAACTTATCTTGATTTATTTTCTTATAGTGACAATAGACTTTTTACATTATCCAATTTGCTATCCTCTTCCCTAGAGATGCAGAATAGGAGCCCACCCATGTAGGGACTTAGGGATAGGCAGGACTTAGCCTGTTACAGTCATGTTTTCAGTCCCATTGCACCAAACCCCTGTTCATAACAGTCAAGTAAGAGCTCATAGAAATGAAAAACATATTTTAAAAAATTATCAGTGTGATAGGATAAAGGTTTCAGCCAGGTTAAAAATCTGCAGGGAGCATTGTCCTCACATTTGCCTTGTTTTGGAGACTTAAGTGGGCTTCTCTGGCCAAAAGTGATGTGCTGGAAAGAGGAAGATTGCAGTATGAAAAAATTAAGTTAGCTAGTGAGCAGTCATTCTGGCAGAAATTGGTGGTGGAATTTCTGTGAAGGAGCTACCTAAGATGCTATATAACCTTCAAAAGCAGGTCTTTGTGAATGCTACCTATACACCTTTTGCATGAATGTGTTTGTTTTATGAGGCCAGTGATATTACAGCACTCAAACATTGCAGTCAAACTGTAGGTTTTCCTTTTTATGTGTTTCTTCTCTGGGATCTTTGGTATCTCTCTCCCACTGATTTTACAAGAGGCCTACAGTAATTCTTCATTGTACAAAATAAATCTGATAAATGTATACTTTTCCTGAGCAAACAACTAGAGGAAGGCCTGTAGATTTTGTAGACTCGTGAAGTAAATTTTAAAGGTTTTAAAAATCTCAAGTTGTTATAAATCTGTCTTCACAGTAGGATCATTGAAGTGGTATTGTTTTTCTTGCACTGTAAATGAGATAAGCCCTCATCTACTGTTCACAGATTCTTTATTCAATTGGTAGGTGAACATATGCATGCAAGTAGTTAAAAGTGCTCTTGAGAAAAACTGTATCAGTTCTGCTGTGTGTTCCTTTTCCAAAATGGCTACCTGCATTTTCATCATATTCCTGCTACCTTGAATGTTTCTTACATGTAAACTCTTTCATTTGTTCTCTAGCAAAGAAGTAAATATAAATTGTAAAAATAGTCAGCTGATACAGTTTACTTGTAGAACTATTTGTGCATAGTGTTGCTCTGCTCACTTATCTGTGTCCCCGTGGTATGATACGATCATGTAGACTGTACTGCTGAGCCCTCTCCTAACATTAGAAAACAGTCTGTTGTCAAATCGCTGCCATTTGCCACTGCATATTGAGTTGGATTTCCTTCTCAATTAAAAAAAACCCCAACAACATAAAACCCCCCAAACCCACAAGACAATAAAAAACCCACACCAAAAAAAACCCCAAAAATCTTTTGAGGACAGGATTTGAGAAGTCTTTTTCATGATCTGATACATTACTTCATCCAACTCTTGCCTCTGATGCCTCCCTTTCTATCTCACCCTGGACATCTGATTCCAGTTAATCTGAACTGTCAGGAATCCCTGGCATGAGGCTCCATCCATCTTGGGATAAATTACAAGAGAAAGAACAACATGTTGCAAATGAAGACTGTATATCATTCAACCCAACATTTTTCCCAAACCACTGAAAAACAGCCTCCAGAATCTAGAGGAAGCTACAGTACAAAAAAGCAATTGATCGCTTACTTTATGGTAATGCTGGGAAGGAAGGTAAGAGAGGGGTGAAAGAGAGGACAAGTAGCTGCCTAAAGTAGCTCCTCTAAATCTAGTCAAGAAGAGAAAAAAATAGTTCATTTGGAAGGGATCTACAGCAATTGTCTAGTCCAACTGCAATATTCACTGCCCACATTACTAAATAATCTATTTTCTGCTAAGGACTCTTTAAAGGTGCACATGATAGTGAGGCTCATGCTTCTGACGCTGAAAAGCTTGCAGTTTCTTCTGCAGGTAAGCAGAGCCTCAAGTATCTGTAACATTTCTTCATTTACATTTCAGACACTTCTTAATAAAAGCATCTCAGACAAGTTTATGAAAACTAAAATTGTTCTTGATTACTACACAGAGTAAAGCGCTTCCAAATTCCTAGTCATATTTTGAGAAAATAGATTATTTGGGGCTATCTTTTAACATGCCAACCTTTATCCTGGTACAAATATGCATAGCTAAATAATAAAACTTCAAGAAATGTTGTTTAAACTCTGAATTATGACAGACCCTATTCTAGCAAAAGCAACAAGGTTCCAGTATTTTAAGACAAATACACTGAAATGTTAATTCTCCTATCTAAGCAGCAAAATCAACACATTTTATCATCTAACAAGAGAGGACTACAAAGTGCATTATTCATATTCATGGGATTGAGGAAAGACGTGCTTATTTTTTTTCCTTTTATCCCACCATTCTCATTTATTACATGGGCAGTATCAGGCCCCACACTAGACAGCTTATTAAAAAAAAAAAAAGACAAAAAAAAGCCTTAAATTGCATAGTTGTACTGAGCTTCTCTTACCGCTGTGCTCTTCTCAGTCGAGTTTTCCAGTTGTGCCTGTGCTGCACTCATTGTGTGCCTGTTTTAAAGGAAGACAATTTTAAACATTCTCTAATTCATGGATCGCATTTGACTAACGAACATGAAGCTTGATAGACAC